TTCTGAACACTCAATCGCTTAAAAAGTTAAATGCATTCCCTATCGAAAACATCGTTTAAAAATTAATCATCGACATACGCCCAACGAACCAACCGCAAACCGTGAAGCTAGACATAGTAACAATAATAATAATTGTGTTTACATTTTTTGACAGGAAAATATTATTATTGCCGCGTTCGAAATTCGAATATTATTTCTATTCACACAGATTATACGCGGCTGAGATAACGCAATTAAAACGAGCGTTTAATATTATTATTTTATCTTCTAATAATATGGTGTATAAAATCAGTTTGTATTTCATTATATTATTTATTATCGTGAGTACATCGGACATTCACACTGCTGCATTAATAATTAATAATAATACAATGATATTTCAATGATCGAATAAAGTACATCATATTTTAACAGCCTCGTTTAACCTTATATAGCATATATGGGTACTATATTATATTATGTATATGCATGTGGCTCGGCGTGGCGTGGTTAACGGTTTGATATATTAATATTTATGGGAAATTGAATTTCGTTCTCATGTCCGGAACGATAAATCATTCTGGAATATTTTAGAAAATTGTTGAAAAATATAAGCGCTAGAAATAGAAGTATAATTACTCACATTTCCCGGCGGCCTTGGATTTGTCCGAAAAGTGAAAAGAGAAGAAAGGAAGAAACGACGAAGAACAATCGTTGGGAGGGCGAAACCACTAGGTAAGTAACATATGAGGAGCATACAGGTCTTTCCATTAAGCGCACGTGGACTGCAGACTCCCACGCGGGCACGTGCGTGTTGTGTTTTGAATAAAAATGTGGATTTCCCACTGTCCGTTTTTTTCTCGTCCTCGGTGCATTCTGTTCGCCGAACGAATTCTTTTCCCATGTTATCGCTCTCCGCTGAGCTGACTTAAATTCAATATTGGTTTATATATGGTCATATGAGTATAATAATATATACGATTGTAAAAAAGACCGGTTAACCCATCATGACGTGTCGATGCCGCTGCAACTACAGTTTACTTACTCGCGAATATCGACATCGTAGGTATTTAAACCTGAGTGATTTACCGAGCGTGCTCACTCCAATTTTATCCTTCAATTATGCATTTATTTAAATTCTGATTTTAAGTGTTTTTTTTTAGAAAAATGACAATACATTTTCATATAAGTACTTGGATTTTATTGAAAATATTGATGTGTGTATAAATCGAAATCCATAAGAGCGGTTCCCTAGTTGTTAGACATAATAATCAAATAATATAAGAGGAGAGTTATGTTTAACAAGTATGCCTACATATTTAGTGTAGCGAGACCTGTTGTTGACGACGATGACGATGATATATAATATATTATGTATCATCCAGTATCCACAATGACTCTAGAAGCATTATAAGGCTTTAAGCGAACGGTTCCCGTATTTTGTGTTGCCTAAACTAACGCAGTAACAATAAAATGTCATATTTTACCTTAGAAGAATTCGTTTTACTTTATTTTAACATTTTAAAACGCTCATATAACTTGCTTCAAAATTAAAATATCAAAAAAGGCCTTTCGACGTTATAGGTGCTTTAAATAAAATTCTTACCTTTAAATTGTATTATATATAATATATTATTATTATAGTTCAATTCACTCTAATATTAAAAATAACTGAGTAAAACAGATCCTAAAATTAACCATGTTTTGCGTTAGTAAAACGGAGATAGGTAGTCCTAATACAAAAACGGGTATAACTTCCTCTTAATATGTTATTAATTGTTATTTATTTTGACACCTAGGTGTTTTTGAATAGCTGCTATACATGTTAACGTTTACGTAACAACATTTCAATAACTTTAAAAATATTTAAAAATAACAAAATAAAAAATAGATTCGAATGAAGGATAGTTAATATGAAATAACTATTTATTTTGAGTCTACACGATAGCACGTGAACACGTAAAAAATTAAAAATATGTAATAATATATCGTACCTATCTATAGTAGTAAACGATTTAACTACTCAATCGTGTTACGATTATAAGAATAATACTATAGACAACAATTATACTATATCGCAACATATTATTATGATAATATTCTATACCTATAATGTTAAACAGTCATAACCATCACTAAGTGCAGACATGTCTTGACGAAATTAAATTTTAACGGCTGTTCCTCGCATACCTAAATAATTACTGTAAAATATCTTCAGCGATATTTAGAAGCGATTTTCATACATATAATGTTGAATGCCGTGTTAAGCGGTTCGCAGCTACGGCGTCTATCGTGCATTATATCATTCAGCAACCATGGTCTACCGAGAAATTTCCAATTTTGCCAAACTCAATAAATTTTTTGACACTACACGGCAGACGGCGTATAGCTGCTAACCCATGCAACTTTATAGTAAAACGAATAAACGGAAAAACAAATAGTTGGTAGATATATGGTCCATCCTAAATAATACAGGTACATCATGCCACTGTCACGATCTCGTCTGTTCTCGTGGTATTCGTACAGATGTTAGATAATAAATAATAACAATAATAATAATAATAATAATATTACATTACACATAAAGCGTCGTTGCGTTCGTGTGCGGCTGACTGGTCGCGTGCTATAATTATTATTGGTTTAAATTATACGAACGATTCCTTCGCGTGTATCGCATTTATATAATAACTAATACTAATACGTACACACATTATAATAAACATAATGCATACAAATAAGGCGAGTGGTAAGTAGGTACCTATATACACACTTGCAGCGCGCAATGATATCGCGTTGGGAATATTACATCCACGTGCGTGAAGGTAAGTTTTATTATTGCAATTTGCAATAATATTATGATTACCATACCTATATAATACGAGCATACAGATTACTGCGCGAAAATATGATGTAACGATGTTATAATATTCAGCTATTTCACTATTATTTTGTAAAGCGACGATTATTATTTTATGTTGCCCCGTTTGGTTCGCCGGCCGGCGGGTCGTTCCCGAATCGAATGTTTTTAATGATCGTAATAAAAGTCGTCGATGATATTATACAGTATTGCACTATTCCAGTAATAAAATACTTACATATTATGATTTTTAAGGTTCTGAAAACAAACGCAGACATGCACTTGTAAAGCATAAAAATATGGTGTCAAAAAACCAAAAATATATGCATTAATTATTTTATTGTTATTTATTCTTGTACTTGCGTGTTTTGCATTGAAATCAGTTTAGACACCTATTATAAAAACGTATGGTGTATAAATGTATATCATAAGACAAAAACAACGGTCTTCGAAGTATAAATAATAATGGTTGGTCGTGAATTCATGATTCGACCATAAGATTAATGATTATGATCTCAAATCGACGTGTTTATTTTTGAACTGCCAAGTTTTTTAAATATTTAATATACATATTATTGCTGTATATCTTAAAAATTTTAATCGTCATAAAGTGCTGAAATACATATCTTATAACTTACCGAGTGATAAATGATCGTAAACGATCTAATAAGCCAAAAATAATTCCCACAATTCAACGAAATTTGATCCATATAAAAATATTATATACATTTTAATAATATTTACGACTTCCGTGCACTAGTGATATCGTAGTTATATAATTATATCACTGCAAAAAAGTGCGGAAGGTAGCAAGGACAATGCAGCTAGGTACAAACGTAGTTATGGGTGGAAAACCAAAACAAAATCGTTGCCGTTTCGTTATAATTATATTTTAATAATAATATGATGTGTGGGAAAAATAAAATAAAAGTATACATATAGAATGAACAATGTATCATATTACGAGAAACATAGGTATTGTACATTATTATACGATTATTGGATGATATTATTTTACAATTTCACCGTGGAGCTGAAAAAACGGAGTTTTCACGTTTCGACATTTTCCGGGAGCACAATATGCGTTGCCTTTGAATACGTAAACATTTATTAGCAGATTTACAGTTTAAATTTACGATCTACAGGGATTTTACGATCTGAAATAATTATTTGAAATGTCCTGGATATTTATTTCGGTTCATCAACCGTGTTCTGCGCGTGTCTGGCGTTCGCGTGCATCGCCCTGAGGGGTATATTATAGGTATGGGTGGTATGGCAATAATGTTATAAATATTATAGTATTGTAGGAATACGCGAGAGACGATTACCGGAGACAGATGATAAAAAACACTCACACGTATAATTATGTAATATGTATATACATATTATTATCATCTGCAGGAAATGAGTCGGCAGCTCGGGCATTAAATAATCCATTAAACATCCATTATCGATATGCAATATAATTTATGTACAATAATGTATTAATGTAATATATAACAATCCGACCGATCGCGCCCCTAACGGAGCTTATATCTATAAGTATGTAAGATATTATATATATTTGTACCGACGAGTTACCCACAATGTGGACGCAGATAAACCTATACAGACGATAGGCGACACAGACGTAAACATAAATAAATTACTCTGCTCATGCGCATCCGTCAATATAATATAATCCGTTTCAATATAATTTTATATACAGAAATAACGCGTATCGGAGAGAATATTGCGTACTCGACTGCAGCTGCAGAGAATTAATAAAAAAAAACACTTTATATCATATTATCATAATGTCGCGAGGCAATACGATTATACTGTAGGTAGTTTACCGTAAACCTACCTAGCCATAGCACCTACCACCCAAGTTTGAACGAAAATCTCGCAACATTATGTGAGCCGTGAGGTCGTGTCGCGTTGGGTATAATCCGTATGGGAAGAATAAAGTATTCAGCATGTTAGGAGTTAGGAACGATTTTCAGACCTACGATTTGGCTCGGCGCGATTGTCAAACCCAGTAAATATTATTTTCCAACATAGTTGTTGGTTTTTAATGTGTATATTGTTAACATTTAAGTACCGGCTACCTTACAATAATTACAGAAGTTCACTTTTCTCAATAAAATAATTCCTAAATATTAAACTCAGACGTTGTCAACAGGTGCGATGATGACCGGGTAGCGATGACATGGAGGCGGCAGCCAGCGTGGTACAGATGACTGGAGGCGGCGGACGGGTGGGGATGAACACGGACATGTTCCTGTTGCCGTCCTACGGCCCGTTCACGTCACCGCCGGGTGTGATCGTCACGACGGGATCACCGAACACGGGTGTTCACCAGTACGCCGCGGCCACGCTCACCTTGCTGCGGCGCGACGCCTGGGTACTGCCGGTGCTCATACTTTCGGTGCTCACCATGACGCTGATAATGACTTTTGAGGTGACTAATATATTCAGTATTTTCTATGCTTATACTAATATGACATCGCACAATACGCGATGCAGGCCTGCAGTTAGGTAAGCTAGGTATATATCGCGGTCGGAGAAATTCATCGTGATCGAAGAGACTGTAAAGTCTTGAGTAAAAAATGTCCCTCGAATGTTGTCAATTTAGATTTATTGGATTTTCCAACGAGAAACATGTCCTAGTTAAGTTTGAAGCTAATAGAATCTGGTGGTTACCTCCAAAGCGACGGCTGTGCGGAAGTGAAAGTTCAACTCTACAAAATATACCATCCGATATAATTAAATTATGACCTGCATGCAAAATGAACATTTTGGTTTTAATTAATAAAAATCTATAGAGAAATAACAAAATTATTGAATTCAACTCATAATTGAATACACAACTGTGTAACTATATAATACGCGTTCCAGATCGACAAAGAACAGTCTTTAATTTATATATATCGCTCCTATACGTTTTTGTTTAAGCCTTCGGTAATGTAACAAATAATTATTTGAATGAGAAAAAATGTCACAAGAAAATATCATGTTAAAAAATTAAATACCATTTTTGTCGGGTCTCTCAATATTTTCTGGTTTCTAATTATCAACACATAATATTATAAATATTATATTGCTAAATTAATGAATTCTTTCGAAACTTTCCGCATCTCCTTCGAGTCTTCTTTACCGCCTGTCAATATAGATATACATATACTTGAGCTCTGTGCTTGAACTCGTAGACGCAAAGTCATGTGGTAGGATGAAAAGTTACACAGTTAAAAAATAAATGTCAGCCCTAGTTCAATAATATTTTGATATTAGTAAACTCATTCCAACAATACTGTTGTTGTTGTTGTTCAATGTCGGAACAAGACGTTATTCGGAATATTATAATATAGAACTCCACGAAACGCATTAAACTGACACGTTGTATTTCTGCAGGTGTTCGTGCTGTGCAAAACGAGAAAAACGGAGCCCAGCAGGAGACATCTGTTCCTAGGACAGGCGCTGCTGGGTGGGCTGTTCGTGTGCGCGGCAGTCAGCGGGCTCATGTGCACACAGCCGACCGTGCTGACGTGCGCCACCGTCAGGCTGTGCACCGGGCTCGGGTACTCGATGGTGTTTGGCACGTTGCTAGTCAAGTGCGTGTTCCTCATCAGCCTCAACGGCGGCGTCTACTTGCCCGCACCGTACCAGGCGCTATTGCTGTTCTTCACCGTGGCCATACAGCTGGCCATCGGCGTCCAGTGGCTCATCTACACGCCTCCACAACTCCTATCGTCCCAGGTAAGTCAATACACTGTTAAGTGTAATGATTTATGTTATCATATTATCGTCAGTAGCACTATAATCACCATAAAAATCATTCAGATCGCGAGCAAGTTTAAAAATTATATCTCTATACTTTATTCCAAATAAGTTAGGAAAAACTGCGTAGCCTCAGAATGGTAGGATCGCTATGATTGGAAAGTAGTCGGCAGTGCATCGACGACAGCCAACGAGACTGCACATGCGAGAACCGTTGTGAGTTTTTCCAAACTTATTTGGAATGGAGTATAATACAATTGAACCTAATAGGCGGTAATTTAATAATGAATAAATAAACTAAATTGTATTGGCATAAGAACGCCCGTGGAAATCAGAAGTTCCTAAATGTAAAAAAAATTCTAAAAAATGTTTTTGATGTTTTGAAAAACTTTAGGTTGTTATTTTAATATTATAAAATCATAAGTTATTATGTATCACAAAATGTAAAAATCGAAATGATAATGTGCTAACGACGTACACCTTGCTTGTTGCAGTGGACGAGCAGCCTGGACAACAGCTGTGACACCAAGTACCAGCACATGCTCGGCTCGCTCGTATACGCTGCCGGCCTGCTGTTGGCCGTCACCGTGTTGGCCATCAAGTCACGGCACATACGAGACAACTACCGCGAGGCCATGTACATCGGGCTGGCCGTCGGCTGCACGGCGCCGCTGTGCGTTGGCTGGGCCGTGGCCGGTCTGTGGGCCACGCAGCCAGGTGACCAGGACGGATGTCTGGCGCTGGGCCTGGGCGCCACGGCTGCGCTAGTACTGCTCGTCATGTTCATGCCTAAGGGTAGACAGCTGGCCGCCATGGGCCGGGACGGTCTTTACGACGAGGACAAGCTCAGCACACTCAGCAGGCCCGCGTCCCCGTCGTTTTTCCACTTCAAACCGTTCATGACGCCAATGAAGCACACGTCGACGATCAACACGTTTGGAGGTAAGCCACCACCACGGAGGTCATAATATTAAAATAAATATTATGTATGTCATGATAATTTAAAAGTACCTACGCATTGTGTTCCCAATATTGTACCCCTGATAAAGTCCCCACTGGTGGCCGAAAATAAAGTCGTGGGACGCGGGACCCTTAAAAAAATATATTTTCATCAAAGATGTGAACATTGTAACTTTGGTGTACTTACACAATATAAAGCTGTCATTGAATTTAAGAACTAAAACACTTACCAAATTCGTAAAACAAAAATATAACTTTTGCATAGACTTTGTGTAAAACATAAAGTGATAGATTTCAAAATACAAATGCTTTCAACTACGGTATACGTGGCCACTTGGGGCGTGGCGCACCTTAAATCCATGAAGTCTGGATATGTGTGGGGGCATCTGTCTTCTCATTAATCTGAAGTTGGTTCAAACGAATAATAATTTAAAAATATTTTCTAATTTTTTCAAATTGTACATACCGAATATAAAACAAACAAATATATTAACAAAGTATAGTAGGGGCGGTAGGGCGTGGTAGTTTCCCCAAATATTTCCAAACTTAACTTCGTAAGTACCTGTAATACATTATGTTGATACGTGTTAATTTTTATTTCTAGTCCCTCCCCACATAGATTTTTTACCATATGTATGCCTATGCCCACACCATAGATTTATGGTCTCCCGGTTAGTTTGTATGTAATCGTACATTCGTACAGCTAAGAGCCGTGGGTATAATACGTGTCATTCGGGGAAACAAATGGAGGAATTTTTTTGGCGATCCGAGCGCGTTTCTGGCGGACCATTTGTTTTCCTCAACTCCAATCCGTCCACCTTCGACTGCAGTAACTACGTTCGTTTAGCCGCACCTGCAGCTGCATTATGACATATGCACTATATGATGCAGCCGAACTAAGACGATACTTTTTTCCTCTAATCTATTTTTAACGATTAGGTATATCGCTATTGTACATATAATACACGTATATATACGTATATATACGTGTATTATACCGCATTCCGCCTGGGTCTAACGCGGTTTATTATATGTACACAATAATAATAATATACCAATGGAAACACTTAAAATAGCTGCGGCATTACAAAAAAAAAAAAACCGTACCCGCGGTACATATTTTAACGACATGATAATATAATATTCGTGGACAGGCTGATTTCAAAACGCAGTTTGTGTATGTTTTAACCTCCCATTTGTAATAATAATATAATAATACCAAAGTCGTACTACGTCGTGTGATATGACTAAAATATAGGTTTTGCTTTTGCATACCCATCCCTGTGGCGTAACAAATAAAAAAAAGTATGAGTACTCAAAAGCGTTGGAAACAAAACTAGGAACATTGTTTTCCGGCTAACGGTAGGTTTCGCACATCTATACTTGGCATTACAGTAGAATAAACACGCGTTTATCGTATTCGGTGCATGTGAGAGGCTTACGGAATATTAAATCATTTTATATGGTATCGACGACGGTGTTTCGGTATTTGACTATAATATATTTATGTTATGGACAAAGTGTAAAAACGCTGTATAAAGAACACACCATCGACTTTGCTATTACATTTAAGTATTATTATTATCATTCGCGTCTACTACGGTGATGGGGTCATCGGGAACTTGGAAAGGGGGCCAAAAGACGAAAACAACAATAATTATTATTGTGAGCACCGTCGGAAATGTTCGGGTCTGCGCGTCGTGAATTATTATTATTATTTATTTATTTAACGCGTGTGACGTGTGGTGTCACGACGTCTCGTCAAACGAATGAGTTCGTTCTGAAATCATATTGTATTGCATAGGTATATTTACGATTTACTGGAGCGAACCCTCATTATCGCGCGTACATGCGTTGCGTCTGCGACTTTAAACTCTACTCGATAAACGCTGACGACAGACGTGACGAATTTTATTACATATTATTACAATAGTAAAGCGCACCCGCTGTCATTATTAAAATTTATACTTACAACCCGTAATAACAGCATGCACCGAATGCAGGGTACCGCAGTATCCCCTTATTTCCGGCTGACTTCTCGGGATTCGAATTTTATATTATTTTTTCAATTCCATATCGTCATTCCTAAACCTCACACAGTCCATCATTTGAGCCTATACAAATCCAGAAGTTTAGTTTTATCTATGCTAGAATAGGTTGGTTGTAGGAATACTTATTGAATTTCTGTAATATTATAATCGCCACGTGTAATCTGTATGACTGACGACTGTAACAAATAGATATAATAATTTGCTAGCTAATTAGTACCTACACATTTATGACCTATACAGATACCTATCAAATATCCTATAATATGACAGAATTCAATTACCAAGATATTAATGTTGGTGTAGTATAAATCACGATATAAAGGTATCAGATATTATACATATTTCTAATTTCCCATTAGATTTTAATGGTTTGATAAAATAAAAAAAATATTTTATTAATTTTATTGTAAACAGTAATCGATCACACGTTGTAAGCAGTAGGTGTCACCTACTTACACAACATATATTATATAGGCATACCATTATACAATTACCATTTACCGATAAGACATAAACGCGTTATAAATATCAAACTATAATTTATACCTAACCACTAAAATATATTATATTATAATATATATACATTACACAGTTATATTACATTTTCCTTGTGGTTATGTGTGAATTGATGTATCGCTACGTCAATTATTCGTACAAGCGTATAGGTACAACATTTCGATGATTATTCAAATTATGATGATATAAATTAATATATTTAAAGGTCGTTAAAATATGGTTCTTTTGGTGCATTCCCTATTCTACTTCGTGTACGATTTCGATCCAAATTCCAGACCAGATGGCAATTACGTACCTACACAAATTGTATGCCAGATAAACGAGTGGAATATGAAATTAAATATAAAAGACAAAAAGTGAAAATATAAGTACTCCTGAAAACGATTTCTCTAAGAAAAAAAAAACCTATCTAAATACGTATCTGATATTATAACAATTAACATTTCATGAAAACGAATTTAATATACGTGAAAAAATCGTCCGTTGTATAATTATATTATAAGCATCATATTCGTAATTATAATATAATAATAATGCGCACGCCCGGGGCGTGCAGACGCGCAGTAGTTATAGATGCATGAAAGGCGGTGGCAATTTAAATTTCATCAACAATCTCGTCTACATAATATTATAATATAATATAACAACATTATTATTTATCTGTACCGTTTCGTTTGTGCTTTACAGACCGAGTGGCGCTCGTAGCCCCGCCGACGTACGCTCACCACTATTACCCGTACTGTTATTATCCGCACCACGGACTCGGCGGTGGAGGTGGAGGTGGCGGTGGAGGATTGGTTGGTGGAGGAGGTGGAGGAGGCGGTCACCACGGAGGTCACATGCAGCAGCCCATCTACTCGAGATGTCCACCCGGTATATTATATAATATTTTTATAAGATTTTACTGTGTGTTTGCCTTAGTTTTGTCGACATAACAATATATAATAGGCCATAAACCATCAGCAGTGGAACATATTCTAGGGGGGCTTAGTCCAATCTAACTACGATCAAGCCCCCCAAAATATCCCTTGTTGACTTATGAGCCCCCTATGATTTATTTTGAGTTAATAGTTTTTTTAGGGGGTCGAGCCCCTCCAGAATTTGTTTTACCCTAGTTGCACCAATCCGTCGGCTCGTTTGATTCGGCGAGGATCTGTAACTTTTTTTGCTCAATTCCAAATCGAATTTTAGAGCTTCGATTGCCGATCTAACCGTTTTTGCTCTCTATATTATATCATATACACATAGTATTTTCGCGCTGGCAACTATCTACAACCTCTGCTATACCGATGGGAATTGGAACGTACCGAATCCGGGAATCCAAAATGAGTATTTTGCGGGATTATCCGGAAACGAACTACGAATTTATTCCCACTTTTTGTGTGTGTTTTATTTGAAATTCAAACCAAATTAATCGTATTCTTTTCGCTCTTTCAGACATGTGCAACTTCTCGGGAATGGACAACAGCATTTACACAACGATGGAGCCCACCATGTCCAACAACCCCAACGTGTTTTTCCACCGTTCCGGTATCCACCCCGGAATGATGTACTGATTATTGTTTAAGTGAATACTCTAATACTATATTATATTTGACTATATGTTTTTTTTTCTCCCGATTTTATACTCTTTTTTTTATTATTGTTTAGAAACTATTTAAATATTACGCATAGGTATTATTATATATATATATATATATTTATAGTAGTCGCGTACAAACGAATGTCAAACTATATAGACATATAGCGCCCTGCGTCCTTCACAAAATACTGTACGTAACAGTAATACCGACCGGTAAATTGTATAATATTAAAATAATACGATTCTTCCAGTGCAACTCACGAGACCGCATCGAGCGGTGGGCCGGAGGACGCTTGTCATGATCTCTCGCAATAATAATCATTATGGTCGTCTGCGATCGCCGAACAAGAAGTTAAGAACCTCCCCCTCCTCCTTCTCCTTCTTCACCACCAATATACACCCCTATATCACCCTACAGGGTGACCTATGCCGATATAATTTTACCCTCGATTTCATACTACATCGCGTTTATCCACCTCTGAATCGCCGCAGCAAACGATTAAAATAACGTGAAATAAATTCGATGAATTCCATAAAAAAAAAAACACACACACAATGCCCACGTCATACCATACATACCACATGGAAACGTATACCGTTTATACCCGTGTATATTATTGTTATACTTGAGGCGGCGCTATAGCTCGTCGCTGTTCCGACGAGATTCGATGCCATTTTCAATCGCGACGATGATATTCGTTCGAGATAAAACACATGTTTTTTTATATATTTTATTTTTTAGATTTAATAACTATGCTTTTATATTAGGTATATATTAACATATAAATACATTATAATACTAGGCATATTCGTGTCTAATGTATTCAATTTAGTTTAAAATATTATTATTATGTAAGCAATTATCTATAAAAGCTATATATGTAATGTTTATATACTATATATACTTGTTACGCGACAGCAACACGTACATAGGTAGGTACTTAATATTATAATATGCATATTGTTGATATTATTATTATTTTTGTATGTGTAGATTATTGTAATTATATAATTATAATATACATAATAATTAATAATATATTAATTAAAGTAAACCATCGGATAGATTCGGCTTATAATAGATGTATAGTAGGTATTTTACTCTAAATGTGTATATAATAATATGTAGAATCAATTTAGGTTTCTTATGTTTCGATTTTGTTTTTTTTGTTTGTTGATTATGAAAATAGAAATAAATTATTTTTAAGACCAACTTCAGTGCCAAAAGACGTGCTTCCGTATAATCACGTCCATTTAAATTATAGTTTGCCTTATTTAATTTTTTTTTAACTGGCAAAATGTAAATATATTTTTTGGAACTACTCATATAATAACATAATATTATGATGTTTATTCGTTCAATATATAAACATTTTATTTTCATAATCATATACAATGGATTACTATAAATCCTACTGTCCTCGAAAGATATTGATTGTAATTTTTATTTGTCGTATTGATCCAGTTATATTAAATGACTATTGTATCTTATAATTGTGTAGTAATAATTGGGTAACGATTACCATTAAAAATGCGTACAAAATTTAGAGTTGCTAAAGTGTAAGAGATTATTGTTTAAAACGATATTAAGCATTACTAGATATATGATTTTATAGCTGTACATTTAACTTTTTACTTCTATATACTCTACAATGTATTATTGTAATATTAAGTATTGTATGAATAAATTATTGCTCATTTAAGATATAAGAACACTAAATTCCTTAAAAATAAGATATTTTTGTATTTTTTATGGTAATAACTCAATATACAATAAACAGTACAATGACTAAAAACCTGTCATCAATTAACCCGTATTTTAAATATAATATTCTAGGTGTGTAAAATATATTTAGGAACTTAAATTTTTGACCTGTTTCTCCGACCTAACATTTCACCTTACCCAAGACAGGTGACCATTAGGTATCAAAACCAATACCAAACAGAACGCATCATCTACACATTCTGATAAAGGTGGCAATCAACATGGTACCTAGATCACCAGTTCTTAGAAAGATCCACTAAGAACTAAATCGTTTCCTGTCCCCAGATTTAAGAACCCTCCTCATGTCAGCTAGTTACTGAGTACTAACAATGCGTAATTTATTATTTTAAAGGATGATATTTTTCCAAAAAGACATGGTAAAAATAAAATTATAACACAAATACAATTTAGTTTATGTATTTACTATAGGTATATTTTATATTACCAATATTTTTTTATAGGAAATCACATAATTTGTTCACAAATTATATCAATAATAACTTATATGATACATTTTTTTTCATCCAGTCTCGTTTTGTTACTATTAAAATTTAGTTTTCAAACAATTCTTTGAATTTATTTTAATACCTATCTTGTAATAAATTATTATAAAAATTAAAAATAGCTTGTACCAAAACTAGTAAGTATTAACATATAAGTATTAGCCATTAGGTATTTATGTTGCCGAACAAACAAATGACACCAACAATTAAATTATCTATTACTATAAAATAAATAAATATCATAAATATAACTCCTAAAATGTTTTTAAAAAAAATAAGTAAAATAATTTAAATTTCCTAATTGTACATTACACAGACTTGTTTTCAACACCATATGACAATATAACAATATTTTAGTCTTGGTAAAATCGACAGTCGTTATTAACAATAAAAATGATGTGCTTGATACATGGATACGTCAAACTTAACATGATTATTTTGGATCAATAACAGTTTGCAATTATTGCACTTCACCCAGCACGATTAATATACATAATGTGCACATAGGAATGTAGTCAATAAAAAAATCCGCTTGTTGCCCAACTAGGGTACTTTATCGGCGGTCGTGTAACAGTGTTTGTTCGGTTTTAGGTAGGCGTTTTCATGTTGTACGCTCTGAGAACTTGTTCGACATTTGGCCAAGCACAGTTCAAAATGATTATTGATCACCGAAAACAGCACACGGAATGTCTCCGAAGCCTTACCCAGCACGGTTTGTAATAATTTTCTCTATAATCGGATACACAAAAACGATTTTCATCAACTATTTATTTTAAAAGATTTTAAATTTTATCATGCCAGGTAAGTATGACATGGACATGATTGTGATTTTAATATTAGCAGGACTAACCTTATTTGGGTTGAGGCAACACGACACACATTGTTCATACAGTACACAACAGCCATCCGCGTTGCATGTATCACATACATAACGTTTTTCAGTAGTTCCGCAGCAGTTGTTTGCTAGGAGATTGTCTCTTTGACATATATAACCTGTTATCAGAACATATTTAATTACAATATAAGGTACATGACTGTTAGTTGGCATTGCTATTTTAAATTATTATTACAAAAGTTTCTGGTAAATTGAAAACACCTATGAAAACAATAACAATTATTTTTTACATTGGTTTGGTATTTAATTACTGTGGTATTTATTAACTAATGCGTTAAAATGAGAGCGTAGTTATACGTCCATTTTGAGGTAATGAATTTTTGAACAAAAATTAGATTATTTTTAGATGTTATTTTAAATTTCTAAAAACCATTTAAAATTTTTCTAAAGTTATACCTAAAATGTCTTTTATTTGTATGAAAAACTTTTACATTTCAATATTTTTATTTTTTTAGAACGGGAGTGCTAATAAAGTTTCACATTGACAGGAAATTTGAGAATATCCTATCTACTTGCACAAGTAATACTCTCAAAACAGTAACCAACCCAATGTACAAAAAAAGAATCATACTCAAATAAAAGAATACCTATGTTTTATATTTCTTTATTTTTTTACTAAAAACATATCCCAACAACCAAACACAAGACAGATTATTCAAAACAAGTTTGCTGTGTTTAAATATACAAGTTATTTATCTTCAGTGATTGAATAATTTACATTTTTCAAAAGGATTGATTGTATTGTAAAAATTCCAAGGCACTTCCTAAGATAAATGTAAGGTAAACAAATCAAGTCAAATATCCAGAAAATGTACATACAGCTGCTATCTACAGAAATAAATACATACAATTAAATAAAATCAAGTAAGAAGTGATAAATGGTTTTGTTTTTACATTTTAGGAAAATTGAAAACTATTGTTTACCTATATTCCAAATGGCTATTATATTATGATTGAATTAAATCTATTTACATGCATGTACCTACATGGCTACATATATTATGGTGTAATTGCTTATACATCCTAATCCTTCATTATATTACGTAGAAATTAATATTTAATTACAAAACATGAAAATATACCTTATCTGAATTTTGTATATTATAATTTATTATTAATCAATTATTACAATCCAGCTTTTACACAGCATTATATTCAATATTGTAATCTATTAAAATGGATTACATGCACAATGCACATTCATCAGGTAAGGTTATCAATAGGTTATGTTATCTCACATTTGAGGTACATTAATTTTTACATGATATGTCTATTAAAATTCTAGTTAGGTATTATAAACTTACGTACAAGATATAATAGTACAAATTAATATTTATTACAATGCTAATACATTTATGATAGAAGATTATTTTCAAAATCCAACCATACCTAGCCAAGATGTATTAATTTTTAGATTATTAGTTAGTAGGTACTCATTAGTCATTGTACATTGAAGATTTCTCATAAATTTTGAAATAATACTATTAATCCATTGTTTTGGGTAAAAGTAAATTCCAGAATGGTAGTATAAATTTTAAATTAAAAATTAAAGGTAAAGCACACACTAACTAAGGTATAATTTGAAAGTATACAACTATTATTATAAAACATTTGTTACCTATATATTGTACAAATGGTTACACAGTTAATTTCATATTAATAAAAAATGTAATATTAGGGTCATTCAAATTACTTGTGTATGATTAATGGGGAAAGTTAATAAACAACATCAAAAGGTAAGTTAATTAATTAAAAGACACTTGTTTGCCATATAATATGTTGCTACCTATTTATTTATAAAATTAATAAAATCGATTAAAATCAATTATAAAAAAATTAGACTTAAAAAATACTTTTGTTTATATTTTCATCTTGAAGATTCCAAGTTCAATTGTTATAGTTAACTAAAAAATTTCTAAAAAAAATATAAGAAAACCTATTACAATTATGCTCTTTTTAAATTATTCTAAATCCTATTATATTTTTAATATAATAAGTGTAACATTATGCAGAGAATGGTTATTATCTTACAAAAGAATATTGTAAGTATTTAATATAATATTATATATACCTGTATTAATTAATTTATACAATATGCCAATATTTTAATATAATTATAGCTGGCGCACCTACGAGCGATTACACAAGCTTAACATTTTTAGATCTAATTAAACAAATAATTTGTATTTTGTTAAACCAAAGATTACAACATTATTAATTGAGAAAAATTATCTATCAAAGTAATTGACAAATGACCATGCTGTAATGAGTTGTATTCACTATGGTCTATAATGTATTTGAGCTTAACTCCAAAAATGATAATTACCTCTGTCATCTGCTATATATTCTCTGCCTTGAACAGTATTCCGACAACTTTGAAGTGATGAGTTGTTCAAATCGACTTCGGCTGACATCCAAACGAAAGCACTGTGATCCAATTTTCTTGGAACACGCCATGTGTCTGTACGCCTGGGTGACTAAAAGTATGATAAATTGAGTTGTAAATTTTTCTACAGAACCTAAATCTTAGATTAAAACTAAAATCAACTAATATTGTTGAGTTACTGTACTTACAATCAATAAGAAACTGACAATACAGTATGTTAATGAGCAGCCGAAAATCACTGACAGCACGATTTTTCGTCTAATGAAACTGAATAAAAAAGCTCTCCACATGACAGGCAATTGGCACCTGGCATTTTCAGTATCTAAATATTAAATAAAAATAAACTTAACTGTTGAGATCCACTACAATAAAATTGTAATCATAGCTGAGACGTAGGGCAAAAAGAACACAATAAATATCTATTACAGTAAGACATTAATTTTTTTAAATAGTATATATAGTATCGACAAACTACATTAAATTTAAGTTTGAAAAATTGTATTCGAAAAACTCTCAATATATTTTAATACAAGTATAATATATAGTTTTATAATTATTTAGAATATTGATAGTTTTAATGAAGATATTGAGTGAAATTGCACAGTGAATTGTTATCAATTATACAACTTTATAAGATAACATGGCCGGCTTAGTGATAAGTATGATTTGATAATAATTGATAATAACATTATGATTGTACTATTGTAGATTATAAAGTTCAAGAGTTCACTTTCAGATATTTGACATGACATTATTTTCTGTACAGTATACACAAACACAATAGTCACCTTACTACCTATTATACTTGTCTATGCTAGTCACTACAGTCTACAACACCGACACGGTGACATAAAATTATTATTTACTAAATTGTTGTCAGTTTCTGTTGTCCACTACTCAGTTGAGAGTTTGTGAGGTGTCGCAGTCGCAAAACGTGGTTTATCTTTAATGGCACCTATTTTTATATTAATTATCAATATCGTGATCGTGATAGATTTAAAATAATAATTAATGATCTACTCCCTTCCTAAGATTAATTTGAATTATTAGAGTGCAATCAGAAAGAAGTTATTCGACTATGGAAATATTCTAATTAGTTATTATTTGATTACCTACGTTTTTTAAACGTGTAGATACCTAACTAATAAGTATGGAGGAACCTAAACAGATATCCAAGAAACAGGTAGGTACCTACCTATTATTTATTAAGTTAGTTATATGGGTAGAAATATTTTTTCTTGTCTAATATATTTTAAATCTATATAGGTACACCTACTATAATAACTTCTTACTTAAAACTGTACTTCACTACTGTGTATTTTTTCCGGCGACGTACATCAACATTTTGTGATGTTCTGCACATTAATTTCAAGGTGTTTATTCCAATTCGTTTCGTAAATGTTACTCTCGGATAGGTAATTTTTGTAAATACCTAGATCAAATGTATTTATAGATTAACTGTTATAAAATTTGCCGCTATATTGCTAGTTTTAGTTATTTACCTACTTAAATCTTCTAACTCTATACCTACCTACCTACCTACCTATATTATTAATTATTGTCTATAAGTAAAAATTAATTATAAATTAATTGTTCGTAAATGGAGGTCCATAGATAAGTATTTAAATAATATGATTTGTGTTTTTCTTCATTTAAATTAATTTTTTGTACCTATTGGCATCTACCTGGGTAGGTTAATTTCGTAATTCAAAGTAGTCGTTTTATTACAAATTTTTAAACATGGGTAAATAGGTTGGTATACCTATAAATGTATACCTATTAGCTCAACATAATACATTTTAGATTCTGTGCAGAGTGATGAATGTATTTATTTTTCAATGATGGGTTTTTTTATGTGTTTATTTCATATACACGACAAGTAATTAAAATTATGCTTTGATTTTCAACTTTGAGGGTGGTTTCTGAAAGGATATTGAATCTAATCGATTCTTTTTAGAGTTGAAAATTTAATTCCCATTATTTATCAAAAGCATCGAGTAAAACAAAACAAACATTTTGGAAAAACCAAAATTTATACTCAATTACTCAAAACTAGTTTTTGATAAAATCGCTTTTGTTCTTTTGATGTAGGTAACTTAAAAATGAATTATCATAAATTAGAGATTTTAATAACATTTTCAAAATACTTTGACATGTTTAATGATATTTACCCCTATATTTACAATCATGTGATTTTTTTCCGCCTGTCATCAACATTTGGGGTAGCTTAAATGCTCCGATTTTTCACATCAGCATCTTTCCTAATAGTTAATCTAGTTTATGCGTTCGTGAGGTCAAAATTCCCAGTAGTTTTTCAAACTTCGGGAAAAATGGGAATTTAGGTATACCTATATATGCAGGGTTCCAACAAGTATGCTCATCCTACTTTTTTTTATTTTATAATGAAGTTTTTCAAAATCTGATTTTTGGAATATTTAAATACACTCAAAGACCATATTTTAATATTCTTGAGAATTTTCGTACCACTTAAGGAGTGTCCCGTGGCGATACAAACTTTTGTTTTTCAAATGGGAACCCCACTTTTTTACTGTAAATTATTTGGCGGATAATTTTCTTAAGAATTTTGATATATTGAAATCAAAATTCGAACTAGTAGTTTTCTAGTTATTCCACATTTTGTGCTAAGGATAATATAGTTTATAATAGGGAAGAAGGATAACATGCTTATAGTATACGTTGTTATCTATAGTCTATACACATAATATAAAATAATACGTCATTTTATATTTTTTTAGTCAAACACTTAGGTAAATAGCGAGTAAAATCCTTCTTGATTTATTTAGTTATTATTCTTATTCCATGTGTATAACTGTATAAGCATATCAGTATTATGGACTATTATCCTTAGTACAAATTGTCCAATAATTCAGAAACCACTCGTTCGAATTTTGATTTCGATGCATCGAAATTCTCAAAAAAACTATTCACTTAATAATTTAAAGAAAAAAAGTGGGGTTCTCATTTGAAAAACAAAGGTTCGTATCGACATATGACACTCCTTAAGTGGCACAAAAAATCTCAAGAATATGAAAATATGGTCTTTGGGTAGGTATATTTAGAGATTACCAAAATCAGATTTTGAAAAACTTCTTTATTAAAGAAAAAAAGGGGGGTGAGCATACTTGTTGGATCTCCCTATACATATTATTATATGAATTTATATACTCAATGATATTTACAAAAGCAATTTTTTGGACCACAATGAATTTCACCTACTGTAGTACTGCGTCTAATATCATAAAATATACCCACTTAGTAATATTATATGCTGACAGACTGTCTTCGCTCAGAATTGCTTTTTGTATAAAATTATTTATCATTGAATTTAATTAATATAACATGTCCGATGTCCATTACAATGACATACTCGGCAACCACTGATCAGTAGATCAGTGCCCACCTCTTTTCTTTAAATTTCGATATAATTCTTAGTAAGTTGTTCATAAACTATTTAAAAAATGTCAAAAGCGTTTAAATTCAGCATTTGTAAAAAAAACGTCGAGATCATGAAAATGTTGCAAATTATTTGTAGTTAGAAATTGATAAATGTCTTTGTGTATCTATGAATCTGTTCAAGATTCTTTATAAATGTTTCGAAAATGCGCATACTTTTTTATGAACGTTTGATGTTCAAATTTGTATGACTGTAGTATATTCTCGCGTAAAACAACGATTTCTCATCGAATGGTTATATTATCATTTTTTTTTTTTTTAATTAAGAAAAAGCCTAATAATAATAATAATAACGTATAATGATAACTTAAATTAGATTGTACAGTTCAGTATCTTTCAAAAATAAAATTATATTTTGGATGGATTTTTCGTCAGGGCCTATTATCATTTTATATATATGATAATACTTTAAAAAATATTTTATTCATTTTCAGGTAATTATTGGGATAAACAATTTTCAATTTATTTTAGTTTTCAATCTAAAAATGTCGATAAAAAATTTTTTGCTATGTCAAAAAGATTGAAATTAAACACAACGTTCCTCGTAGTTGTTATTACTGAAATTTAAAAATATTAATGATACATATTGTGTATATATACATTTGAATATAAAATGTTGACAAAATTAATCAATATCACAAGAATTTTCAAAATATTTTGTAATTTGAAATTTATAAAATGTTAAATTTTTATACCTAAGGGTTGAAAATGTAAAACAAGGCTTTTGTCATTCTACTGTAGTTCTATATTACTAATGTCTAACAGTAAAATCAATTAATTTAATAGCAATAATTTATAATATCATAAAAATACAAAATATACGTAGTAGTTCTATTGACTGACAGACCGGCTTCACTCAGATATACGATTTTATACTGTCCATTGAATTCAAATTTAATACATCCATTACAGTGACCCACGCGATACTTACTATGTATCAGAGTGATATCCACATCATGTCCACCTTTTTTTATTAAATAATTATGTGTGTAGCTTAATAGTATTTTCACTATTCAATGATTTTTTTTTTTTAATTTTAGTATATTGGATAAGATAACAATTATTGATAATTAGGTAGGCGCAGAATAATATTTGCGTATCAAAAATAATTTTGTGAATTATAATTTCAATTAAGTTTAATCATAATTATATTTTATTCATCTTGGATATCTCTCTTTTTCTACGAGAAGTACTTATATTTGTGACAGACATTTGTGATGATGAAATAACTAATAAGACTAATGTATAATATAAAATTAGGAAGACTCTGATTTGGTAATATAATGGTTAATATAAAAATTATAAGGGAAAATGATTGACATTTAGTTTTGAATCAAAATGAGTTATTTAAAATATTTTCTGTGTAAGTGGTCGAGAGGACATTTAAAATGCATTTTTTGTTTATTTATTTGCATGGGAAGAGGTATCATCCAACTAGTGTATTGGTGTAATCCTGTGCTCTCATAATACTATTATGTCTACTAATATATTAAAATACATTAGAAAACAATAATACAATAATAAACGACATGAACACAATAAAAAAAATCACATTTTAGTGATGATTTAAATAATTGTGAGTAATAATACTAATGCTGGGCAATGGGCATTACCGAGTCAAAATGTTTAAGTTAATTTAATTTCAACTTTTTAACTTAATTATAAACTTTTGGGTTTCCATTAATTTAACTTAAATGTTTTTAATTTAAGTGAAATCAACAAATTCAGTTTCAATTTTATTTATTTTATTTTATTTTATTACATCTCAGTCGATTTTTTTTCATGTCAAAAAATAATTCGGTTATTTGTGACGAATAACATCAATAAAGTACTAAATATTATTACTGT